GGAAATATATGTGAACCATTACGAAACGAGTTGACAATTGTTTTAGGTATGCCCGTTTGCGCTAAGACGGAACCCGGTCGCAAAAATGGCAATGCGAGGGGCACGAGTCGCTATTCGGCTTGTCCCGGATTAACACGAGGTGGTCGAGAATGTTGGCGTGTGTGCGCGCGCCAGACACGGTACGGCTGCTCAACTCGTCGATATAATTTTACACTTTCTTTACGCCGACATGAATATCAAATTTCCATTTTGACAGTATTCAAAGAGTGTATCCCCCACAAACTTAACTCCAAATAGAACGATTGTGCATAATCCGCTTTCGCCATCCCTTCATTAAGACAGCCAATGTGAGCTTCAAAAACATAATCAGCTTTAAATCTCATGGCCCCCTTTGGGGGACGATACGCACTACAGGTGAAATAAAACCCTTCAAAAACCCTCAACGTGAAATTGACAAAACATCAAGTGATCCGTTATCACCAGTTGCGCAATAAACAGCGTACTGAGTGACACCTTGTAAGAAATAGCTAAAATTTGGAATTTTCATATCATTGCACGTTTAATGGAAAAAATGCGAATTTTGTATTAAAAAGGTATAAATTCCACGCTGTGTTCTCATCTTTGTAAAGGTTAAATCAATTATTTTGATTCTGTATAGCGTTCATGTCACTTAGGCCAGAGCGTCAGAGATATTGCGTAAGGTTTGACTTTCAGATGTATAGGTCAAGTGTCAATACAATAATTAGCGGAAGCTGTATTATCAGCTGTGAAGCTCTTTGAGAAAATATTTGTGAACATATCTCTCGTGTATCGTTTGTGTTTATCGGAAAACCGATAAAGTAATAAACAGATCATGTTAGGCGATCTACTTTCGATAATATATGAATAAATATATGCGGATGTAAAACTAGTCTTATAAAGATCATTTCTAATTGTCTAATTGTTCTGAGTGAGTATAGTTTTACGCCGCTTTTACCAATATTCCAGCAATATCCCGGCGGGGGACCAGAAATGGTCTTACCACACTGCACCCGTATTGGGAATCGAACCCGGGTCTTCGGCGTGACGGGCGACATGGCTACCCAACCGCCCCTATAATGAAATATTTACGTCGTTGTATGGAACTTATCAATAATTTAGTGTGGTTGTTTGTTTAGGTTAACGCCGCTCAACGCAATATTCCAGCTATATGACGGCGGTCTGTAAATAATCGAGTCTGGACCAGACAATCCAGTTTCAACTTCACGCCTTTACTTATATATCCCTTACGAAACCAAGTTACCTCCCTCTGTTATGCTTTCCGACGTTAGGAGAAAATAATTTCGTTCTAATTCGTCTCTCAAACGAAAGAAATTATATTTCTCGCTCGCGTGCTGTCTGCAAGACGGAGTCCTTGACATTGGCCAAACGGCAGTATTATCCCTCAGTTACATTGATCAAGTTGACACAACAAGTAATATGTGAATAAAGTGAAAGAAAAATATAACATATCATATATACGTTTCTAATTAGATATATGACACTTGTCATGTCTAACTCAGGAGGCTCCAAGCAGATTAGGTTTTACATGGGCGATTCCACTAGTGGGAGGTAAGAGGTAGTAGTCTAGCTGTGGACTCAACCAGAAATATTGTTGTCATCAGCTGTTTGACGACTGCCTGTCTCACACTTGGGAGATTACTTCCAAAAACTTTCTAAGGTTACCAAACATCCACGGCAATTTGATGTTATTTTTAATTACAGAGACTCTCAACGCGTGTGTTTCTTTAAAACCAGTTTGGGTCACGTGACCTTCATTACGCACCGAGATGCAAATGTATAACCACTCGATCATCTCACGGAGATTTACGAGTGTTCCGGAACCCCGGGCGACAAGGTACAGTTAGATCCAGCACGCGCGGCACCCGTGGGGGGCATCAGACAAGACATGGTATCTGACACGCATGCTGGAACGGGGCAGAGTAATTAGGGGACGACGCAAGTGATAAAAAAAATATAGTATGGCGGTGAGAGAGGCATCGAGATGAGTTTTATGGAAGACAATTAAATCAACCTGGGAATTCGATGGAAGAAGAGGAACAGAAGAAATTGAACGACCCCTAAAGGCTAAAAATATAGCTCACCTGGGCACGGTTCCTCCAAGTAATATTGCGCTATTCCATCGTATGCGATCAAATGTTTAAGTTACGAGAGGTCTAGTCCTATACGAATGCTAACATAAAACTGTTAAGGAAAGGACGTTTTATCATTTTAATTTAGTGTTGGGGACATTGATTTGAAACGTAACCTTTCAATGTCACCGGTGGTACTTGGTATCTTTTGATGTTGAACTCCACACGCGTGATAGTGTGGATTGGGTCCTGACCTACACCTACACCTCACCTACTGAATGTTAAAATTTTCTCATTGTTCACTTAAACATAACAACTGTTAAGATGTAGGTGATTTTTAAACAGAACAATAAAAATAGCAGTATAATATTATAATGGCAATTTTATAAAATTTAAGACCATCTTTTACAACACCACGTGAAACAAAATCCATGTTTAGGACATGTTTGTACTCACATTTACTGGAGGAATGTACTTAATTAATTACTAAGATTGTGGATGATGGACACAAGCGCCATAACTTTTGATGTAATTTAAAAGAAACGTTTCTAAACTGATATTTGGACAGGCTGGGTCGAAACCCCGAACTGTGTTTCAAAATGGTTGAGAATCAATCATCCAAACAGGGCGGTCGGGTAGCCTAGTGGTTAAAGCGTTCGCTCGTCACGCCGAAGACCCGGGTTCGATTCCCGACATGGGTACAATGTGTGAAGCCCATTTCTGATATTGCTGGAATATTGCTAAAAGCGGCGTAAGACCTCACTCACTCACTCACTCACTCATCCAAACATAACCACAACAATGCTGAGTAATGCACGTGCTACATTACCCAGATCAGTGGATCTTGAGTTTGACGTGAAACTTTTGCTGCACTTGCAGCATGGCAGCCTACAAAGATGTGGATATAAAAGGAACGATGCACTGTTCATTCCCACCCTAACCATTGGACAGTGACAAATAACGTGCTAAGAGTAACGGTACTGTAAGAACAAGCCATTGGTGTGATACATCAAGAAGCAACGCATGACCACGTTGCAAGGAGTTTTGGCTGCATCCAAATAACAGTCACCAGGCTGATGGGCCGTTATAAGCACACTGGATGGACGGGAGATAGGCGATAACAGGGTTTGGTGGTCAGGGCACCATACCAATACCCCTGAACGTCGTGGAACTTTTGTCCCCAAAGCATTTTTTAAAATATTGAAAGTCTAAGTACACAGTAAAATGCATTTCTCAAGTCACAAAGATGAGTTTTTGCCTCAGATTGGTCAGAATTAGGGCACACTCTCTTCCATCATCACAAAATAGATACAGGTGATGCCAGACCCATTAGATTCCCTTTTTTATAAGCAAAACTCACCTATTTCCATATAGAATTTACAGATAGGTGCAAGAAATGTTTGCAGCCAATATAATTCAGACCAGTTCTTCCGAATGGAACTCTCCCAAAGCTCTCACCGTTTTGCCTTTGATCATAGACACATCAATGCAGTTACCCAGCCTATATTTGCCCCTCTACCACGTTTTGAAAATGTCGTTGCTGCTGTAGGCGACAACCGTGCCAATATGTTTAGTGTCCTGGATTGTGCTAGTGGCTTTTTGCAAACACCACTCCATCCAGATTCAAAACACAAGTCGGCCCGATGGTGTTTTTGAATGGACTCGTCCCCCTTTCCGCCTCAAAAATGCCCCTGTGGCATTTCTGCAAACCATCTAAGAAGCAATGAAGAAAGGAATTGGCGTTACATACTGATCGATGTACATGACATCATGATATTTTCTGAAACGCTTTTGGAACATTTGAATCAGCGGTCCAAAAGGCAGTACTCCAAAAGATCAAAGAAGCAGCACCAAGCAAATGTAAATTTGCGACAAAACACCTTCTAAGGCCATATCCCCAGCAAATGTGGCATTCACGTCCATCCTTCAAAAATATACTCAGTCACACAGATCCAACCTCTACAAATGTCCATGACGTGTGTCATTTCTTAAGTTTGGCCTCATATTATCACAAATTTGTAGCAAACCTTACTGGCATCGCCTCCCCTCTAGACAGCCAGTCTTTCGAATGGTCCAACAATTACCAACAGGCATTCGAAAAGCTAAAGCAAGCCCTTTCAACAGCCCCCATCCTTGCATATCCCGACCTAAACAAACCCGCCATCCTCACAACCGATGCATCACAAACTGCAATAGGGTACATTCTAAGCCAACTTGATTCCCATGGCGTTTCTTATAATGATGTTGTTAATTCATGTCTTTTGACCATACAAGTAGCTTCCTGTTCTGTTTTTTTATGAACAAACAATGGTGATTGGTAATTTAACGTTTCTTTTGCTCATTAGTTTAGGTGATTGCAATAACATTTTTTTTAAATCTTTATTTTTTTCCCAATGATCATTGCCCATCACAGTCAACAACATTTATGGCCTCTTGAAATGAAAGATTTGAAATGACTATTAATAAATAAGGGTTACAGGCATACTGTCTCTCGTGGTCATGTCCCTCTGTCAAAGATTATGGCTCTGCTCACGTAATACTCTGTATTGATGGGGATGGCTATAATGTGGTCGGGACTTTTATTGAGTTATTTGTTTTCAAGCAGATGGAGGCTGATCTTTTCATTTGCAAACAAAATTATAAGCTGTGTTTTCAGTTTTGGATGATAAAACGTTGATGCCGTCGATTCTATTTCAAATATGGCGTCACAGCGGCCATGTTTTTAAAATCTCTTTTGACACTTAGATCTCTTGATGTTTAGTATCGGAGTATACTGAATAGGTAATACAACCATTTTCAAATTATATCCTGTCAACTCAGGACGTTTATCGACAGTATGTTCCAACACAGGTTCAACAGTCCTGATGACACTGTCCATGTTTGTTTCAGACGTACATGACGTTGTTTAAAGTAGGCGTGGCCTGTAACGCCATCAGCATCATTCTCCTCGTCCCCGCCTGCATCGTCTTCATCGTTTACAGGTACGTCGTCTTACTTGAGTCAATGGCAGGTAATAACATTGAAGTGTTGCATTCCAATACCCCAGCACTAGGATTGGACAGGCAAGTAGTCGAAGCGTTGATTTGTTACCAATCTCATTAAAATCAGACCTTAGTTTCGTTACCCGGGTTCAATTTCCAAAATTTTAATGAACGTTTGTCTATTATTCAAGGAAATAATCAAGAAATGGTCACCGAGAAGTTTCTAGATCAATATCACTTATTACAGCGATTAAACCGAAAATTGGACACCGATCGTGGAGCAGCTTTTTAAAAAGTGCATTCCTATCTCCCATGAATCCGTACAATCTCGGATAAAGGTTTCACTTTATACTTACACGGTAAATCATATAAATGTACGTGTGTACGATGATCTTTTAACAGCATATGCATATTCCTTATCTGTAAGTCTTGAAGTCGATAATCTCCTATGTTTCAACACCTCGATTACTCTTGAACCCCTCGACTCCATCTTTATGTTCGTTATCACACGACTAACACATGTGTGCTTTACAAACAATGTGCAGAGTTAGGTCGATTGGGAAATCTGTGATTGTGGGTTCGAATCCCGGTTCGCCCCGATTGTGTATCTTGGTTTGTCAGCACCATACCCGTGCTCGTGGGTTTCACCAAAGTGGTAAACGTCTGAGACCTTCACCACTTCGGGCTTTCCTCCAACACGAGTGAGTGAGTGAGTGAGTATGGTTTTAAGCCGCTTCTGGCAATATTCCAGCAATATCACGGCGGGGGACACCAGAAATGGGCTTCACACAATGTGACGTTATCGACGTTATATAACTGGAATAATGTTCAACGTGGCGTTAACCCCAATTCACTCACTCATTCTACAAATAATGCCCCGTGTGAATTAAGCTACCATCTATTTTACACTTTGAAATACACAGGTCTGCTCAACAAGTATTTAATACAAAAATAGGTTCCTCCAGCCTCAGGCGCCGAAACAGCCGAGTCATTATGGAAAACATAGCAGTATCCAACGGCCATGCAAACTCATTAAAATCAGATCTTAGTTCTCGCTACCGCTAAACAAAGATCTGAGGACATCCCATTAGGGATCACGTCAGAACGACCTTTCATCCGACCAATCAAAGCGTCGCTTACCAGATCATGAAAGTGACAGTCGGAATGTGATTTCTCATCATGCAGCCTCGAAAGCTTTAAAACGGGGTATTCCGAACGATAGTTACGGGCTTAACGACTGGATTTATACAATCTAGACCATATACTAGCCATTCGAGAATGTTCTATTGTTCAGGTTTCAAATTTTTAAGCGAGAATTTGTCGAAATATGTTTCGAAGCGTAGTCGCCAATTTGAAATTAGTGCCGTAAAGCACGAGAAAGCTGCCTTCTGACTGGCTAATATCGACTTCTTGTCAGTAATTCCATTGGTCGGTCAGAGTTCGCGAAAGGTCGGTCTGACATGACCCGTAATGGGATGTCTTCAGATGGCTCATTGTTTAGCGGCAGCGACAACTAAGATCTGATTTTAATGAGATTGAACGGTCATGTTGATTCAAAAATAATCTCTTTCGATACTAAAAGTCATCATTTAACAGTTTTTAGGCTCCTGCTTTTTTGTAAATATTTCGATAGATTCAATTTGGCTGACGATTTCGTTTTTCAACATGTTGTTGTATCAAACATCTACTCGGCGTGTATGTTAAGTTACGTGGTATGAAGTGATGCACTCAACGTCTGTCTCCCACAGACAACTGCGGCTGCAGCAGCGTATCAAGCTGCATCTGTGCCTCTTCGCCTCCTTCATCCTCACCAACGTCATCCTCATCCTTTGGGACGTCCTCGTGTACAAGGACAGACTGGACAAGCCTAAAGGCCAGACACTCATGTATAACAACACGGTAGGTGTATGACACTCATGTATAACAACACGGTAGGTGTATGAAACTCATGTATAACAACACGGTAGATGTATGACACTCCTGTATAACAACACGGTAGGTGTATGACACTAATGTATAACAACACGGTAGGTGTATGACACTCATGTATAACAACACGGTAGGTGTATGACACTCATGTATAACAACACGGTAGGTGTATGACACTCATGTATAACAACACGGTAGGTGTATGACACTCATGTATAACAACACGGTAGGTGTATGACACTCATGTATAACAACACGGTAGGTGTATGAAACTCATGTATAACAACACGGTAGGTGTATGACACTCATGTATAACAACACGGTAGGTGTATGACACTCATGTATAACAACACGGTAGGTGTATGACACTCATGTATAACAACACGGTAGGTGTATGAAACTCATGTATAACAACACGGTAGGTGTATGACACTCATGTATAACAACACGGTAGGTGTATGACACTCATGTATAACAACACGGTAGGTGTATGACACTCATGTATAACAACACGGTAGGTGTATGACACTCATGTATAACAACACGGTAGGTGTATGAAACTCATGTATAACAACACGGTAGGTGTATGACACTCATGTATAACAACACAGTAGGTGTATGACACTCATGTATAACAACACGGTAGGTGTATGAAACTCATGTATAACAACACGGTAGGTGTATGACACTCATGTATAACAACACGGTAGGTGTATGACACTCATGTATAACAACACGGTAGGTGTATGACACTCATGTATAACAACACGGTAGGTGTATGACACTCATGTATAACAACACGGTAGGTGTATGAAACTCATGTATAACAACACGGTAGATGTATGACACTCCTGTATAACAACACGGTAGGTGTATGACACTCATGTATAACAACACGGTAGGTGTATGACACTCATGTATAACAACACGGTAGGTGTATGACACTCATGTATAACAACACGGTAGGTGTATGACACTCATGTATAACAACACGGTAGGTGTATGAAACTCATGTATAACAACACGGTAGGTGTATGACACTCATGTATAACAACACGGTAGGTGTATGAAACTCATGTATAACAACACGGTAGATGTATGACACTCCTGTATAACAACACGGTAGGTGTATGACACTCATGTATAACAACACGGTAGTTGTATGACACTCATGTATAACAACACGGTAGGTGTATGAAACTCATGTATAACAACACGGTAGATGTATGACACTCCTGTATAACAACACGGTAGGTGTATGACACTCATGTATAACAACACGGTAGGTGTATGACACTCATGTATAACAACACGGTAGGTGTATGACACTCATGTATAACAACACGGTAGGTGTATGACACTCATGTATAACAACACGGTAGGTGTATGAAACTCATGTATAACAACACGGTAGGTGTATGACACTCATGTATAACAACACGGTAGGTGTATGACACTCATGTATAACAACACGGTAGGTGTATGACACTCATGTATAACAACACGGTAGGTGTATGACACTCATGTATAACAACACGGTAGGTGTATGAAACTCATGTATAACAACACGGTAGGTGTATGACACTCATGTCTAACATTACGGTAGGTGTATGACACGCATGTTTAACAACACGGTAGGTGTATGACACTCATGTCTAACAACACGGTAGGTGTATGACACTCATGTCTAACAACACAGTAGGTGTATGACACTCATGTATAACAACACGGTCGGTGTATGACACATATGTACAAAAATACTGTCAGTGTATCACACATGTACAACAATACTGTCAGTGTATCTCACATGTACAACAATAATGTCAGTGTATGACACACATGTACATCAATACTGTCTGTGCATGACACAAATGTACAACAATACTGTCAGTGTATGACACAAATGTACAACAATACTGTCAGTGTATCACACATATGTACAACAATACTGTCAGTGTGTGACACAAATGTACAACAATAGTGTCAGTGTATGACACATATGTACAACAATACTGTCAGTGTATGACACAAATGTACAACAATACTGTCAGTGTATGACAGAAATGTACAACAATACTGTCAATGTATGACACATATGTACAACAATACTGTCAGTGTATGACACAAATGTACATCAATACTGCCAATGTATGACACATATGTACAACAATACTGTCAGTATATGACACAAATGTACAACAATACTGTCAGTGTATGACACAAATGTACAACAATACTGTCAGTGTATTACACATATGTACAACAATACTGTCAGTGTATGACACAAATGTACAACAATACTGTCAGTGTATGACACAAATGTACATCAATACTGTCAGTGTATGACACAAATGTACAACAATACTGTCAGTGTATGACAGAAATGTACAACAATACTGTTAGTGTATGACACATATGTACAACAATACTGTCAGTGCATGACACAAATGTACAACAATACTGTCAGTGTATCTCACATGTACAACAATACTGTCAGTGTATGACACGTGTGTACAACAATACTGTCAGTGCATGACACAAATGTACATCAATACTGTCAGTGTATCTCACATGTACAACAATACTGTCAGTGTATGACACAAATGTACAACAATACTGTCAGTGTATGACACAAATGTACATCAATACTGTCAGTGTATGACACAAATGTACAACAATACTGTCAATGTATGACACATATGTACAACAATACTGTCAGTGTATGACACAAATGTACATCAATACTGCCAATGTATGACACATATGTACAACAATACTGTCAGTGTATGACACAAATGTACAACAATACTGTCAGTGTATGACACAAATGTACAACAATACTGTCAGTGTATGACACATATGTACAACAATACTGTCAGTGTATGACACATATGTACAACAATACAGTCAGTGTATGACACATATGTACAACAATACTGTCAGTGTATGACACATATGTACAGCAATACTGGCAGAGTATCACACATGTACAACAATACTGTCAGTGTATGACACATATGTACATCAATACTGTCAGTGTATGACACATATGTACAACAATACTGTCAGTGTATGACACAAATGTACATCAATACTGTCAGTGTATGACACAAATGTACATCAATACTGTCAGTGTATGACACAAATGTACAACAATACTGTCAGTGTATGACACATATGTCCATCAATACTGTCAATGCATGACACATGTACATCAATACTGTCAGTGTATGACACAAATGTACACCAATACTGTCAGTGTATGACACAAATGTACAACAATACTGTCAGTGTATGACACAAATGTACAACAATACTGTCAATGTATGACACATATGTACAACAATACTGTCAGTGTATGACACAAATGTACAACAATACTGTCAGTGTATGACACAAATGTACAACAATACTGTCAGTGTATGACATAAATGTACAACAATACTGTCAGTGTATGACACAAATGTACATCAATACTGTCAGTGTATGACACATATGTACAACAATAGTGTCAGTGTATTACACATATGTACAACAATACTGTCAGTGTATGACACAAATGTACAACAATACTGTCAGTGTATGACACAAATGTACATCAATACTGTCAGTGTATGACACAAATGTACAACAATACTGTCAGTGTATGACAGAAATGTACAACAATACTGTTAGTGTATGACACATATGTACAACAATACTGTCAGTGCGTGACACAAATGTACATCAATACTGTCAGTGTATCTCACATGTACAACAATACTGTCAGTGTATGACACAAATGTACAACAATACTGTCAGTGTATGACACAAATATATATCAATACTGTCAGTGTATGACACAAATGTACAACAATACTGTCAATGTATGACACATATGTACAACAATACTGTCAGTGTATGACACAAATGTACATCAATACTGCCAATGTATGACACATATGTACAACAATACTGTCAGTGTATGACATAAATGTGCAACAATACTGTCAGTGTATGACACAAATGTACAACAATACTGTCAGTGTATGACACATATGTACAACAATACTGTCAGTGTATGACACATATGTACAACAATACTGTCAGTGTATGACACATATGTACAACAATACTGTCAGTGTATGACACATATGTACAGCAATACTGTCAGTGTATCACACATGTACAACAATACTGTCAGTGTATCACACATATGTACATCAATACTGTCAGTGTATCACATATGTACAACAATACTGTCAGTGTATGACACATATGTACATCAATACTGTCAGTGCATGACACATGTACATCAATGCTGTCAGTGTATGACACATGTACAACAATACTGTCAGTGTATGACACATGTACAACAATACTGTCAGTGTATCACACATATGTACAACAATACTGTCAGTGTATGACACATGTACAACAATACTGTCAGTGTATGACACATGTACATCAATACGGTGTGTGGCACATGTGTGTAAAACTACGTTGATAGTGTGACTCATACCATCGATATTTTGATATTGCAATGTACATGTTCGTGGACAAGACATATGTGAGACGTTTACACGCAGTACATCTCATGAATTACTGGGGGCTGTCGTCCTTCCATTCCCATACTAACGTCTCTCACCTTCAATCACTGGATGGTCTGGTCCAGACTAGATTATTTACCGACCGCCGTCATATAGCTGGAATATTGCTGAGTGCGGCGTTTAACAACAAACAAACAAAGCCTACTGGAGTAACTTTTGTAAAGAGAATTTCACTTTCAAGAACTTCATGCACTGGCGTTTATGAATGATCACGTAGCTTGTCTATGTGTATTACATAATACTGACGTTTAGAGCACACAATTGAGTTTAGTTTTACGCTGTTTTTAGCAATAGTCCAGCAATATCACGGCGGGGGACACCAGGAATGGGCTTCACACGTTGTACCCATGTGGGGAATCGAACCCGGGTCCTCGGTGTCACGAGCGAACGCTTTAACAGCTAGGCTACCCGTCCGCCCTCTAGTGAACATTTAATATACTTTTGATATTGATGTCCACATGTGATGATATAAATGTTGACGATTCTTACTTCCCTTCACGTGTGTAACAACTTCATTTATCAGCAACACTGATCTCTGGAACATTGAATCACGTTGTATTTTCATAATAGCGTTCGCAATCATATTCTACCGTTAGATTCCCGTTTCCAAGTATCTATTGGAGACAAGTATCAAACATAATGTTTTATTTCTTTTGTAAACGCGTAGATTCATGTATCTTAAAGCGTTTATTTTTGTACAACTATTCAATATTGGAATGGACTACTGCTATAGATATTTCCCCGGACAGACATTGATTTTTGAAGTTCGGTTCGTGTTTTCCTGACATTGGATGGTAGTAGGTCTTCAGATTCAGACAAGTGATTAACGGGCCTTTGTCGGGGAGAGGTTATGTATGGGTTGGTCAGACAAATTAGATGGCATAGCCAGAAGGTTAATTTACTTAATCATTTTTCCGACGTCGTGATGACGTCAATATGTATCTGTTAATTATAATTGTGCACGATAATGGCGTGATCTCCGGGAACCATAGACACTGTATCCGCTGTTCAAGAGAAGCTTGCATCGCGACTATGAATTTAAAAAGTTTTGAACGATAAATCGGGTGTTTGTTTGGTGTTTAACGCCGCATTCAGCAATATTCCAGTTATATGACGGCGGTCTGTAAATACTCGAGTCTGGACCAGACAATCTGTTGATTGACATCATGAGCATTGATCCACGCAATTGGGATCGATAACATGTATCAACCCAGTCAGTGAGCCTGATCACCCCATCCCTTTAGTCGTCTCTTACGACAAGCATAGTCGCCTTTTACGGAAAGCATAGGTAGCTGGAAACCTACTCTACCCCGGATCTTCGAATTCACGGGTGAATAAATCGAGTGAATAGTGTTGCACTCCATATTTCAGTAGAATAGTTCATGCGATGATTTTAGGGGTTGTTTGTATTTACTTCTAAAATTCTTATATGAATTATCTAAAACTTTCGGCAATATTAAGCAATATTAACTTCATAAATGACCATCTGTCATTACGATAAAGGGAAACAATTTCAGGGGAGGTCACTCTTGTATGACAATAGCTCCGTGAAAGTGTTATGTTCACCGCAGTGGAATATCAAGTGTTATGTTCACTGCAATGAAAATATCACTTTTGTCAACTTCGTAAAAGTCTTTCACACTGAAGAATGTCATAAATCCCATAGGGGCACTCGGGTAGCCTAGTGGTTAAAACGTGTGCTCGTCACGTCGAAGACCCGGGTTCGATTCCCGACATGGGTACAATGTGTGAAGTCCATTTCTGGTGTCCCCCGCCGTGATATTGCTGGATAATTGCTACAAGCGGCGTAAAACCATACTCACTCACTCACTACTCATAAATCCCATATGTTTGAAGTCACGCTTTCTCGTTAGGCGTGATGGGGTATTGCTTTTCGAAGCTTTAAACCACACCACTCCGGGGAACACCAAGAATCAATATCACATACGGTTCAGATGTGGAGAATCGAACCAGTGTCTTTGATGATACGAGCAAATACATTAACCACAAGGCTACCCGATAATATTATCAGATATGGCTTGTAGTGATATTATAATGCATTATGTTTAAAGCTCTAAGAAAGGGCAACTTTGGACATAATGATCGAATAAGTAAACACAATATCACGAACAAGAGAGTAAGAAGAAAATAAGGTACAAGTAAGTGAGTACATGTATACTATAATGAAAAAGTAAGTAAGTAAACTACGTTTATAACGAACACGCTTATAACGAACTGACCGATATAATGAACTTATTTTTTAGTCCCAGCCATTTGTTGTATATATGCTTATAACGAACTACGGTTATTGCGAACTAAAATCAGTGGTCCCTTTGAGTTCGTTATGACCGTAGTTTGCTGTAAGTACAACGTATGATACAAGTGAGTGAGTACAACATAAGAAACAAACAATAAACATAGATGTGAGTTTCGCGCAGCAAGTAACAACATTTTAGCGATATCACGTCTGATAAAATGTTGGGGAAAACGCCTCGGTGGTGTTCGGGATGGAGCGTCTTCGGTTTTATATCCTGGCCTCGTCGTAAAAGAAATAGACAGAAAAAGAGGGAACTTGTTTTTGTCCTGGTCGGCTCGGAGTCAGTATACTGTGTCTGAGTTGGGTATTCATGTTAAACTGTGGCATGGTGTCTCAGTGGGCTAGCGCTGTAAAACCCAGCTGTAAAAGCCAGGCGTATGCATGGTAATAGAACAGGACGACAGACACACGTCGCTGTATAAGTGAAATAACCTGAAACGCGACATTAACCCCATTTCAACTCGCCTTATTTCACCTAATGTACGACCGCCTCCGTGGTCTAGTGGTAGAGCATCCGCCCGGAGAGCGGAAGGTCCGGTGTTCGATCCCCGACCGCGTCATACCAAAAGACGTTAAAAGATGGTACTTGTTGTTACCCTGTCTGGCGCTCGGCATTAAGGGGATAAAACAAGGGCTGGTCGGCTCGAAGTCAGTATACTGTGTCTGAGTGGGGTATTCATGTTAAACTGCGGCATGGCATCTCTGTGAGCTAGCACTATAAATCGGCATCAGTCCGGAGTAGTACAAGCAGCCACACAAACACACACACACGTACATGCACGTCGCTATATAAGTGCAATAATCTTGGATGCGACGTTCAACCCAATTTCACCTCACCTCACCTCACCTCACTTAATGTACGAGGAAAACCTGAATTGATACAATGCTTTGTCGATTACCACCTTCGCGAAACCACCGAGCACAGGTGTGGTGCTGGCAAGCCCGGAGCCACGATCGGCTACGATTGGAAGCCACGATTTGCGGATCCTGGTACGACCAAGGGAAGTAACCCTTACGAACACAGTTTTGGTGTCTCGGAGTTCAAACCCAGAAATGACCGTATAGTTTTGTTTTTGTTTCACAGGTTGGCTGCCGACTGTTATATACGTTGATCCGATACGCCAGGACCGTCAACTTTCTCTGGATGTTCCTGGAAGGCTTCCACTTACATCGACTCATTGTGCAGGCGTTCAAGGTCCCCAAGTCCTTGCTGGGATATTATATAGGAGGGTTTGGTAAGTGGAGAAGCGCTGTGGTGTGACAATATCGTACAAGCAACAGTTTTGACAATGGCTTGGTTTATTTGAGTTAATTTCATCTTCAAACCTATCGTGTCCGTGAATTGGTACGTTTCAATTTCTCTGAACGTGTCCACGACCAATCATTCGGAGTTGTTGGAATAATGCGGTTATTTGGGTCTAATTGGTTTCCTAATGCAAAACAAGGATCAGTTCATGCCTACCAGCCTATGCTTAATTATGGTTGTAATCCGGAGGTTGGAGCAGATTATAGTGATATTAAATATCCCTGTAAGGCAGGATAACTACCTCTCCAAGACCGCCATTGCGGGGTCGTGGGGGACAGTGTGTTGTGGGATTACTTTGTTTAAAACCGCACTCACCAATATTCAAGCGGTCTGTAAATAATTGAGTCTGGACCAGACAATCCAGTGATTATCCGTATGAGCATCGGTCTACTCAACTGGGATGCGATGACATGCATCAACCAAGTCAGCTAGCCTGACCCCCCGACCCCGTTAGTCGCGTCTTACGACAAGCATAGTCGCCTTTTATGGCGAGCATGGATTGCTGAAGACCCATTCTACCCTGGATCTTCACGGGGAGTGAGACAGTGTAATCAATCCCTACAAGACAAGAGTGCCTGAATGTTGTATAGTTTGGTCCATCATGAAGGAAAGCAGCTCTTTGAATAGAAACAGTTTCCATTAAACTCCATAGTTGTGGTTCTATTTTAATTCAAGTAATTGGAAATTCAAGGTTTCATCTCCTCAAAGGTCACTCGCTTCCACGACATAATCTCACTTGTAAGGTTTAGTTAGTCCAGATGTCTTCTTTGTTCGCGACTTTCTTCTGCGAAACGTTTTCATATATACGGTTTTTATACGTCACTCTAGGTTAATGCAAGTCTTTGTATTCTTATTTCGTTCAATGTGCCGATTCCGAGCTGGAAATGTTCAAAGTACCTAATGCAAAGTTTGAGTGAGTGAGTATGGTTTTACGCCGTTTTTAGCAAAAATCCAGCAATATCACGGCGGGGGACACCACAACGGGGCTTCACACATTGTACCCATGTCGGGAATCGAACCAGGGTCTTCTGCTTGAGGAGCGAATTCTTTAACCACTAGGCTACCCGACTGCCCCTAATGCAAAGAACGTTAAAAAATGGTACTTGTTGTTACCCTGCCAGGCGTAGTATTTAAGGGGATAAATTAATAACAGGTCGGCTCGGAGTCAGTATGATGTTCCTGGCTGGGGTATCCATGTTAGACTGCGGAATAGTATCTCAGTGGACTGGACAATGAAACCGTCATTCCGGACTAGAACAAGCAGCCACACACACACGTGCATGCACGTCGCTATACAAGCGTAAATACATTAAATACGACGTTGGACCCCATTTCACGTCACCTCTAAACCTTGCTTCATAACCCTAAACGCAGATAATGTTAACTCTATCCCTGATGATTCGATGGATTTTAAAATTAATTTTGATGTCAATAATTGTAAGGATATTTTAAACACTGATATAAGCGAACAAGAAACTGAATGCGCCATCAATCTACTAAAGAATAACAAGGCATGTGGCCAGGATAACATTATCAATGAATATATAAAAGCTTCAGTGCCAACATTTTTACCCTTGTATACCAGACGATTTAATCTTATATTTGCTACTGGGATGTTTCCCGAACAATGGTTAAAAGGAATTATTCGTCGGATTTACAAAGGTAAGGGGAGTACAGATGAACTGGAAACTTTCGGCCCATAAGTCTTATAAGTTGCCTAGGAAAAATGTTTACCTCAGTTATTAATGCAAGATTACACGATTATGTTGAAAGTAAAAACATCCTGTCAGAATCACAAGTGGGTTATAGACATGGCTACTCCACAAATGATCATATTTTTACCCTGTATGCAATTATTGACTTACCAAAAAATAGAAAGAAAAATGTATTGTAGTTTCATTGATTTCCAAAAAGCTTTTGACAATGTTCGGCGTATAGGTTTATGGAAAGAAATATTAGCACAAGGTATTGATGGGAAACGTATTCGTACTATTGTTAATATGTACGATGGCATTAAATCATGTGTGTACAAACGGTTTATATACATAACAATTCCCTTGTCTTATTGGTGTCAGTCAAGTTGAACATTTGTCCCCAATATTGTTTTCATTATTTCCAAATGATCTAGAACTGTTTTTTTATATTCTCAAAACTGCCCCAGGGTTTCTATTCAATCTCAGTCACTTTATGGTCTGTTAGATTTCTCCGTTGTTTTGTTCGCATAACTATATCCAGATGATACTATTTTGTTAGCTTTTAATCATCAAAATTTACAAAATATCTTTGATATTTTTTCAATTTACTGCAAAAAATCGAGATTGCTTATCATTACTAGTAAACCAAAAATATAGTTTTTGGTGGTACAAAAAGAGACAAGAGTACACATATATTATTAAATGGCTCTCCAATCGAATATGTCAATGATTATAAATATCTAACTTTACAAATCAAAACTCTTTCAAACCTTCTGTAAAAGCAAATTGTGATCCTGCCACTGAGGCCATGTCCTTTCTATTACGTTAAAGTAGAACATTTAATCTATCCGTAAAATGTCAATTATATCTCTTCAATGCCGTGGTAATACCAATTCTATCATATGGCTGTGAAATATGAAGTTTTGAGAATTGTAAACAAATTTAATCTGTTCACGTTAATTCTTTACGTAAATTATTCCCCATTAAGAAAATTACACCTTTATACATGTTGTATGGAGAACTTGGAAGATTGTCTTTAATTAATTCTATCAAATGTCGAATGGTATGTTTCTGGGCTAAGGTCTTATCAGGCAAAAAAGAACAAAAGTTAAAAGGATTCTATATCAAATGTTACATAATGAAGTCTTTTCAAACAATAGCTTTCAAAAATGGATAAAAAGTTTGGAAAATATTTTCAATGAAACGGGCTTCAGTTTCTATTGGTTTAGCCAACAAGCAGTTCCTCCTCATGTCCTTAAATCTAACATGTCGTCGTTAAGATTATCTGATATAGCAACTCCAACATGGAATACAGAGATTACATATTCTTTTAAAGGTATCACATATCGCACATTTAAAACTGAATTCGTCCTTGAAAAGTATTTACTGGTTATCCCTTTCTCTTTGGCTGTAAAATTCCTTTTGTTTAGAACCTCATGCCACATTTACCTACTGAACTTGGAAGGTGGCACAGCATCCCTGTCAGTGAACTAACGTGTCAACTCTGCGATATGAGCGATGGTGGTGATGAATTCCATTATATTTTTCTTTGTCCTTTTTTTAAACACCAACGAAAAATACAAGTTCCAATTTCATATGCTAAAAATCTAAATATGTTTAAACTTTAAGAACTTTTTAATTGTAAAACAATTAATGTTATTAAAAAATTCTGTACATTCTGTAATGTCATTATGAGAACGGTAAAATGTTCCATGTGTAAACCACCCCTCCATCTTATGTATACAGTAAACTACGTTTATAACGAACACGCTTATTACAAACTGACGGATATAACGAACCTACTTTTTGTCCCGACTATTTGTTGTCGTTATGTTGTATATATATAATGGTCCCTTTGAGTTCGTTATAACCGTAGTTTACTGTATACTGTTTGCAAACTTGTACTTCATATGGCGAGGATACCGGGCTGAGCGTAAATAAAGTCCTGTTCTGTTCTGCTTCTCCACACAGAGGAGCACTCAAAACAACTGACCGAATAAATAAGAGTAATCTGCCATAAATTCTTACTTTTTACCAAAATAAAGAACTTTCACATCCTTATTGGTTTCATTTGGGAATATGGGGTTTCAGAATAAAAAAGTTTGAGATCTACAGTTGTCTGTGGTGACAAACAACACCGTTACTCCGGCACCTCCACATTCCAGACGAGTCTGATAAGAACTTCTACACATTCAACACAGCATGATTGTAACGATCTTCGCAGTTAGGAAGCCTTGTCCGACACTTGGTTTCCAGAACTGGATTGAATAAGCACATATACAGTTAACGGAGAAGGTATCGATCAGGCTTACTTTGTTGACGTAACTTGTACACTATCCATTTCACTTTGTGAATACAAAATGTTTAAACCAATATACCATGTTTGTTTATGAAGACGTACATAAGTATAACCTTTCAGTGTATTACCATATTCATGCCCGTGAAGATTCCGGGGTAGAATAGGTCTTCAGCAACCCATGCTTGCCGTAAAAGGTGACTATGCTTGTCGTAAAAGGCGACTAACGGGATCGGGAGGTCAGGCTCGCTGACTTGGTTGATGCATGTCATCGATCCCCATTGGGTGGATCGATGCTCATGAAATCAATCACTGGATTGTCTGGTCCAGACTCGATTATTTACAGACCGCCGTCATATAGTTGGAATATTGCTGAGTGCGGCGTTGAACAACAAACCAACCAACCAAACCAATCATGCCCTGAATCCCCAAAACATTATAACTGAGACTCCCCTGGACTCAATAATAAATAAATCCATGGAACTACTGTACACAAATGTCGACAATTTAAAACGACTTATTAATCAGGAACTGAATTTGTTAAATTTTACTTTGGAATAGGACTTTCACCGTAACCCACTTCTTCTTTTTTTCCGATGGTAAATGAAGATATGTAGTATCTCTTGTTTCAAAATGGTTCTTTGACTACTCTCTGTTGCAATACTTCATCTTAGCTTTGACTTTCATAACATTTAAAGCCGAATTATCTGCAGTGTTATGCCCTGAAGATGATACCCAACCGCTGTGATATCATACAGGCTTACTTCTGAACCGGAGACGTCTTTGCTGTTTGTGGGCGTGTGACTGTAACTACCATTTTCCATTACTGAAGATTAAGATGAACTAAGTTGGTTGTATCCATTAACTGTGGGCACGGCTGTCCTCGTGCTCTAATGCGCCGCATAGAGTTGCGTCCTTTGGCGTGCCAGAAACATATAACACTGGAGTCGAATCCCATCCCATGATGGTCCTTGGTTTGTCCAGCACCATACAAGTGCTCTTCGGTTTCACCAATTGCAAATAGTAAGCATCTCTCACACGAAGCTAACACAGTGTATGAATGAAACATTGTTCAAAGTGGCGTTAAACACAATTCACTCACTCATTTATTTGATGTTAAAGGGCTAGTTCTATGACGTATGAAGAACGACCTTCTTGTGTTTCAGTGGGGCCGATGGTGCCAGTCATTGCGTACGCCATTGTCCGCGGTGTAAGGAACGACCAGAGGTAAGGGATGATCCTAATAAACACGTTAAATATTTGAATACTAGTTCAAATATTTTTTTTAAAAGATTTTTGGCCGTGAAATTTTAATTTGAACGAACATGTCCCTTTTCATGTTGTTTTGGGGTTTGTTTTTTTTTCATTTGAACAAATGTCAGATAATTAAGGTATACTGTGGCAGAAAAGGGAGGCAACGTTTGAAGGTTACTCCCATAATCAACCGCCTCCTAAGTTCCTAAGTGATAATTGCAGTCATTTTACACATTGAGTGTTACATATTCATGTGGGGCGGTCGGGTAGCCTAGTGGTTAAAGCGTTGGCTCGTCACGCCGAAGACCCGGGTTCGATTCCCGACATGGGTACAATGTGTGAAGCCTATTTCTGGTGTCCCCCGCCGTGATATTGCTGCAATATTGCTAAAAACGGCGTAAAACCATACTCACTCACTCACTCACATATTCATGTTGACAAGTTGTAATTGAATTCATTCGTAATGTCAATAGCCACATCATACACTTTAAACATAAAACTTAAGATCAGTTGGTCAAGATGATTGTCTGAAATATTCTTGGTACATGATTCAGGTGGTCATGAATTCAATTTACCCGGTGACATTTGTGCCTTCAAACTGAGCTTTTAGTATTGAAATGCCAGGTCTGCATGACCGCCATATATATCCCATTAAGATAGGCCAACAGACATATTGGAGTCTTAACACTTCCGAGAGCAATGCAACCCTTCACTCACTGAAGAAACATAATCAATACCTGAACGACGCCATCATAAAAGTGACCCAAACGTGTGAATTACTTGTCTCAAATGGCGCGAGAGTCCATCATCCCACCTGTGACCTTTTGAATGCATCATGCCGAGTTTAACATGCTGAACGGTTATTTGATGCTACAGGGTTGAAACCATTTTCCCATCAGAATTCTACTTCAGTGAGTTCAGGGTTGAAGAATGCAGAACAATTGGGGGACAGTTTGAAACATAGATGTGACAACAAACGCCAATATGTTGCGTTTAGACGTTCAGAAAACGTCGGCCGTATACGGTCCTAGTGTTCTCCATCTCTAAATATGTAAAGCGGCTCTTACAGATGATTTAGAACTCTTCTTGAAATAGATACTTTGTTATGATTAGTTCACAGAGATGTTTTGTGATGCTAATGTGTTTTACAATGGAAGAACAGGATCTCCTTTTACAGGAGAGAACGAATGCCGGGGGTATTGGCGCTCGCGTCTGAGACAAATGAAAAATCTCCGAGTCCAATTGTTATTGCCAAACTTAAAACAGAAGATCTCGGAATCGCTATAAAGCTATAATGGTCACGCTAGGGGTCCACGACGAGGTACACGTGTCCTTTGGGAAGCAACCGTAATGATTGAAGGTCAAGGTCACGGTGCTCTTGATTCCAATTCTAGGGTCTTTATGTGCCACATGGGTTAATGTGGCCACATATGGTGTCCCCCCACCCGTGATATTGCTGCAATATTGCTAAGAGCGGAGTAAAACCATGCTCACTCACTCACTTAAAGGGGCGGTCGGGTAGCCTAGTGGTTAAAGCGTTCGCTCGTCACGCCGAAGACCCGGGTTCGATTCCCGACATGGGTACAATGTGTGAAGCCCATTTCTGGTGTCCCCCGCCGTGATATTGCTGCAATATTGCTAAAAGCGGCGTAAAACCATACTCACTCACTCACTCACTTAAAATGTTGGGTCAGTGATTTTCATACTCTTGTAATGCCTTCAAACACCTAGATCTATATGTATAAATACCACAGAGACTCCCCTTTGTCACTGAATCATTTCCCCTCTTTTCTAGTTGCTGGGTACGGCACGCGGGTGGCTATGAGTGGATCATATATACACCCAATCTCCTGTGTATAGTTGTAAGTCTTCCATCTTAACTGTTATACATTCACTCTTTCCATAATTATAAGAGATCTATGTTAAAAGCATAGTCCATTGTACGCTTCCGAGTTAAACAACGATTAAGGAGAAAGTACTTATCAGACATAATCTCACTTCAATGTATATGATTACTAATGTATAACTAGAAATAGAAACGGTCCTGTACATTAATTCGGCTACTCCTCTAACAGAAAGATTTTGTAAATTCCAAACTAATTGTGTTACTAAAATGTTCATAATGATATTCGCCTTAATGTCGCCGACTTAGTTAAAATGTGTTTTGAAATGTATGCCCGGTGAAAAGGCTTTTAAACGTTGTTTAACCAAATAGTTTTTATCAAAGTTCTAATTTTTTTCCCACTTACTATACATTTTACAATTATGTTAAAAACAGAAAATATGTAATGCGTGTTTTAGTGTATAGTTTCTCAACGGCCTATACTGGTCTTGCATAAAAATATAAACAAGTTTTTATGATGTATTATAATATGATTCATGTATTTTTATGTGTGACACTTAAATAAACATTTTTTTATTCATTTTCATGCCATTTACGTCAAAATTCGTTTAGACGCTCGAGCAAACGGAATTCGTCTGTACCATCACAATATAACATTATTATAAGAGAAACTGATGACCTGGCAAGTAATACTATGGTCTGCTTTACTTTAATTATTGTTTTTCTTCTTTTAGATTAACCTGTTTTTCCTTGCCAGTATATTACGCATCCTCCTCACCCAGCTTCAGTCTCATCCAAACGAACCCAGTAATTACAGGTGAGCTACAACAACAAACCTCGGATATAACGCGCAGTGGTTAACAAGCAGTGATTGCCATGCAGTGGTTAACAAGCAGTGATTGCCATGCAGTGGTTAACAAGCAGTGATTGCCATGCAGTGGTTAACGAGCAGTGATTGCCATGCAGTGGTTAACGAGCAGTGATTGCCATGCAGTGGTTAACAAGCAGTGATTGCCATGCAGTGGTTAACAAGCAGTGATTGCCATGCAGTGGTTAACAAGCAGTGATTGCCATGCAGTGGTTAACGAGCAGTGATTGCCATGCAGTGGTTAACGAGCAGTGATTGCCATGCAGTGGTTAACAAGCAGTGATTGCCATGCAGTGGTTAACAAGCAGTGATTGCCATGCAGTGGTTAACAAGCAGTGATTGCCATGCAGTGGTTAACGAGCAGTGATTGCCATGCAGTGGTTAACAAGCAGTGATTGCCATGCAGTGGTTAACGAGCAGTGATTGCCATGCAGTGGTTAACGAGCAGTGACTACCATGCAGTGGTTAACGAGCAGTGATTACCATGCAGTGGTTAACGAGCAGTGATTGCCACCTCCGTGAAGATCCGGGGTAGAATAGGTCTTCAGCAACCCATGTTTGCCGTAAAAGGCGACTGTGCTTATCGTAAGAGGCGACTAACGGGATCGGGTGATCTGGCTCACTGACTTGGTTGATGTATGTCCGTATTCCAATTGTGACATCGATGCTCATGATGATGATGATTCCGGGGTAGAATAGGTCTTCGGCAATCCATGCTTTCCGTAAAAGGCGACTATGCTTGTTGTGAGAAGCGACTAACGGGATGGGGTTGCTAGGCTCGCTGACTTGGTTGATTCATGTCATCGTATCCCCATTGTGTAAATCGATGCTCATGATGTCAATCACTGTATTGTCTGGTCAAGACTCGATTATTTACTGACCGCCGTCATATAGCAGGAATATTGATGAGTGCGGCGTTAAACAACAAACAAAAAAAAGACAAAAACAAATCATTTTCTTTAGTGATGGTCACTTTATGTTGACTCACGAAGAAGCTATATGCTACTTTCAATGCCTGAAACAAACGTGAGTAAAGTATTATCACCTAAAACAACAATATTGGAGCACATTCAGCGGCAGACTTTGTGTACAGTCTATTATCGGTGTTCCTTCAATTCAGATAGAAACTCCACTCAAAACACAAACGTTGACCACTGCGGCTTCACTCCTTCGTCAACATTAAGTACTTCGCGTTTTAGTTTGTAATAGTAGAATGGAGATAAACATATGTTTTTTTATAGCGCCAGGTTACCTGTATAGTCAACCGCGCTAATTTGAATTTTGAATCGAAATTGAATTAACGAGCAGTTGTTAACTAGCAGTGTCTGACGAACATGGGTAAATTACCAACGGCAAACGTTTAACATTCAGAGAATACCCGAGCTACAAGAAATTACAGATTGTCTGTCCCGAGTGCAATGGATGTATTATTCCCGTTATTCCCGAGCCGGGGCAACCTGTTGTACGGAAGCCTTTTAGGACCATTTGGGGTTTGGGGTTTGTTTTTTCTTGAAATTTCACTGATACTAAGTTGAAATTTCAAGATACAAACTAAGTTGAAATTTCAAGATACATAAGTTGAAATTTCAAGATAATGAAAAAACAAATGGCCCTAAAAGGCTTCCGTACTGTTGTCCAGATGCCGTCATGATACCAGTTTGTGACGTCATGAACAATGGATGACGTCATATTGCTTCAACTGACCAATCAGCGATGAGAGTCGCTAAAATGCACATGTGCAAAGTTATTATACACGCTCACCTCCCCCCCCCCCCACACACACACACACCGTCATCTCCCCCCCCCCCCCCCCCCCCCCCCCGATTAATAATAGTACATTCTTGCCTGTGTTTGCTATAATATCGTATGGCTTTATAGGATGATGATGTTGACTGTATATTGATGTATTTCCAGGAGAGCGCTAAAGGCTACTTTCATCTTGGTTCCACTGTTCGGTCTTCAGCTGTTTCTGGTTATTTACCGACCCCCCTCTGAATGGGAGGGATTCTTCTACTATGAGGTTTTAGCCAAGGTCGTATCTAACTCACAGGGAGCTGTTGTCGCCCTTATATTTTGCTTCTTCAATGGCGAGGTAAGAAATAGCACATTATTTTTTATTATTTTTTTTTTAATATTATGCTTGGCCTGCGAAGCGATGTTGTAATGTTATTCATTATTTGTTCCACTGATATGTGTTTTTTTGCGATTATATTTCACTGATAAATGGATGTTTACGTAACGGACATGTGATATAATGGTTGTCAACCCACAGCCGAGAAAACACTATGTATGGTAATCCAAAGAAAAGTTCCATTACTTTATGCTAAGCGTTAAGTGCCAACTGTGTCAGTAAATTTACTTGTATAACCTATCAAATATTGTTTTTTTCAATAGATTTACCTAATTACAGCAAATTCACTTAAGAGACAATAGACCAAGGTGTCACTATTATTATTTTTAAACCTTTTTATTTTGTTATTAATATAAATATTTTATTTGTTTATATATATTTCGTTGGGTAAGGGGTCCCTACACGTATATACCAGCTTGGGGTGAACATGAGTAATTTGTCAAAGTGTTGTAGCGCTGCTTTCTATTTCTAATTGAAAATGATAAGTAAGCACATTTCCTTCTGTTAAATTTACATGTTATGTTTAATTGTGGCTTTGACACCACAATCTCATAAACAACAACGTCAATGTTATGGAGGGGAGAGGGGTATGAGGGGCTGGGGAGGGGACTGGGCTTTTATTTAAATAATTGTTCCCAATAAAACTGTAAACAAAAAATACGTTGCTTCAGGTTTTCAGAACATGTTACAAAAACATATTGCTTGACATGCTAGGTGTCCTTAAAACACACATACACACTAACACTAACACACTACCCAACCTATTATTCCGCCGAGTAAATACGAATGACTGCATAAGTTATTGTTTGCTTCATTGAAATATTCAGTTTGCACACATGCTGTTGTCAATGCAGACTTTAAGGTCTTTATTCGTACACGGACATAGCAACAATTATTTACCAAAATCAATATTCCTTTAGCAAATATTTAGCAAAGTCGTAACAAGCTTACATCATCTCTATATCCGACACATACACGTAATCAATAGTTAATATCGAATCTATGTGTGACTGGATGGTACCACGCATTCTTTTACTTCTTTTACTTCCGCTATAGATATATATGCAATATATTTTGCAAGAATATGTTCAATATTGACATAAACCTTATATGCTGATGGCATGCTTTTTTTACTCAACAGCACAAAGGATAGATAGCTTTGGTTTTGTGATATAGTATACAGTTTATACGACATTTGTAACATGTCCCTTACTTACGTTTTCTGTTATGATATAGTATTACAAGCATAAGGTCTTTGTCATATGCCCTTACGTTTGTGTTATAGAGTACAGAATTACAAACACAAGATATTTGTAATATTCCCTTACTTACGTTTGTGTTGTAGTATGCAGTGTTACAAACATATTACATTTGTAATATACCCCTTACTTACGTTTGTGTTATAGAGTACAGAATTACAAACATGAGACATTTGTAATATACCCTTTACTTACGTTTGTGTTATAGTATGCAGTGTTACAAACATAAGATCTTTGTGATATACCCCTTACTTACGTTTGTGTTGTAGTATGCAGTGTTACAAACATATTACATTTGTAATATACCCCTTACTTACGTTTGTGTTATAGAGTGCAGAATTACAAACATGAGACATTTGTAATATACCCTTTACTTACGTTTGTGTTATAGTATGCAGTGTTACAAACATAAGATCTTTGTGATATACCCCTTACTTACGTTTGTGTTGTAGTATGCAGTGTTACAAACATATTACATTTGTAATATACCCTTTACTTACGTTTGTGTTATAGAGTACAGAATTACAAACATGAGACATTTGTAATATACCCTTTACTTACGTTTGTGTTATAGTATGCAGTGTTACAAACATAAGATCTTTGTGATATACCCCTTACTTACGTTTAGGTCCACGCTATACGAAACCAGAAGAAGAGTACACTCGTGATTTTAGTCAATGGCTTGGAGGAGATCGGTAAATTTCGACTTTTTTCGTATGTCCGTCCACTAACACTGCTATTCAGTTTGTAAACGAGCTTTCATTTTCTCTGAAAACTCCTGACAACAATTTATCATACTTCGCCCTTTGTGATTATGTCACTCTTTGTACTTGTGTCTATTGAGTAGACTAATTACCTTATTTTGACGTCTATTTTGATCACTAAGCTTCTCTTCGGATGTTCAGTGTCGTGTTATGTGAGTTTGTGTATATGTGTCAAGCAGATATTTCTTATGATCATGGAAATGGGTTTGATCGCTTTTATTATACCAAGATTCCGTCCGTCCGTCAGTCCGTCTGTCCGTCAGGCCGTCCGTCCGTCCAAAAACTTTGTCCGCGCGATTTCTCTTAAACTATTCAGTGGATTCATCTCAAACTTAGTACATATAATCTGTGTCATATGGAGGGGTGCAGTAAAAAGAAAAAAATTGTTTTTATTAATTTTCCATTTTTTTTATGAATTTTTCAAACCCTAACGTCCGTCTGAAAACTTTGTCCTCGCGATTTCTCTTAAACTATTCAGTGGCTTCATCTCAAACTTAGTACATATAATCTGTGTCATATGATGGGGTGCAGTAAAAAGAAAAAAAATGTTTTTATTAGTTTTCCATTTTTTTATGAATTTTTCAAACACTAACTTTTAAATGTTTGTAACATTTAACATAGCGTGACGCCAGCACCCCTGGAGGTTCAGTGCAATATGTCACGATGGGGTTCTTCCCCAGGACTGTCCTCACTCACTTACAGTGGAACACTGTTCAACCGATGTTCAGTATACCGCGAAAATATACTGCCTTCGAGACAAGAGGACAAGAGTAGACCAGTGTCGTTTTAGAACAAGTCGGGTCATGCAGTCACATCGTTCTAAATGATGCATCGAGTAGCAGGAGTTCGGATTAAACAGATGTCGCTGTTGCAAAAGTTCAAGTAATCAGTGTATGATGTCTACAATCGGAATATTCATAGATGTAGACCTAAGTGCGAGCAAGATCATTTTATATCGTTAGTTTTTTTTCCAAAAAACGAAATAATCCCTTGGGGAAAACGTCGAAATAGAGCAAAAAGGTTTATCGCTTAATTGCGTAATGCTAGATTGAATATATAAACTTCCACGTTTTTTTCGCATCCATATTGGGTTTTTTAATCCTTTGCGTTTTTAGCTGTGTAAGGAATTGGAAGCAAAAAGGTTGCATCCATAATTGCCCAATGAATATTTCAAGATTATTGCTCCTGGCGTTGTAGGTTTTGTATTTGTATATTGGCGCACCTGTGTTGCATGTATGTTTGAGCACTGGGTGATGCTACACATTTGTGCTTCTTCTGCTTCTGATTGTGGGTTTTGTCTTGACGCTAAATGTTGTATTCGTTATTGTGTGGAATGTGGAATGGGTATCAGTGTTGAATATTAACATTCCTGAAATGTTGTTTGGTCGGTTCAATTACATGTATGTGGCAATTCTGTGCTAATTCAGAAACTTCGAAAATGTATTGGATGTAGAATAATATACACTGTATGTGTGCTTTCAACTCATTAGTACATTATGAGCGAGTGAGTGAGTGAGTGAGAGCATTAGTCCAGTACAGGGAGAACCACTTCTGAGGTGAAATGGGGTTTAACGTCGCGTCCAAGATTATTGCACTTATATAGCGACGTGCATGTACGTGTGTGTGTTTGTGTGGCTGCTTGTACTAGTCCGGACTGATGCCGATTTATAGTGCTAGCTCACTGAGATACCATGCCGCAGTTTAACATGAATACCCCACTCAGACACATTAAACTGACTCCGAGACGACCAGTCTTTGTTTTAGCCCCTTAATGCCGAGCGCCAGACAGGGTAACAACAAGTACCATCTTTTAACGTCTTTTGGTATGACGCGGTCGGGGATCGAACCCCGGACCACTCTCCGGGTGGACGCTCTAACACTGGACCACGGAGGCGGTCTGAACCACTTCTGATAACCATGGGGGTAGTTAAACACGGATCTGTGGCGTGACGAGCGAACGCTTTAATCACTGTCCTACCTGACATTCATTTTAAGCAGGTACATTATTATGTGTACATTAAAATACAAAATGCAGCAAAGAGGGTTTGGGTGATCCCGGCACAGTCAGGCTGGTTAGGCTCATCATCAGCTCAGGGCCCTTGCCCCCTCTACACGCAGCCCAGACAGCGAATGGGACTTCCCCCAGGAAGCGCTGCCTAGTCGAACCCACCCAGAACTTGCGTGGCAAGCGTGGCATTTCGATAGCGAGGTCTGCATATTTGCCATGTTTTTCCAGAATCTTGTCAATCACATTAGTATCAAAAGGGACAGAAAATTCAATAACATAAAATGATTTCATTTGATTTATCAAAAAGGACAAGATCAGGTTTGTTGGCCTGGACAGGTCTGAGGCTGTATACGGGCCTATTCCAAAGAATTTTATATTTATCATTTTCCATGACGCCTTCAACATATTCTAGGTCGTACCATGGATGGACCTCTGTGTCAAAACCAAAAGCATGGCGAAGACGGAAGAAAATAATCGAGCCACTCCATCATGATACTGTGTTTGTGCCAAAGCTGAGCATCCATTTACAATGTTTCGGACAGTCTCATTAAATTCATTGCATAATCTACATTTCATATTTACATTTTGATGTAGAATCACACATTGACGGTTTCGGGTGGTATTATTATTATTATTATTATTATTATTATTATTATTATTGCTGTTATACTCAGTTATAAAGCTTCCCTCTCATAGATCGCGATCGTTGTCATCGTTGTTGACATGACGTTCTACGTAGTAACGGGGGCACGGGTGGCTGTGCAGAATTGCGTCCCTTGGACACGCCAGAAACCTATGATTGTGGGTTCGAATCCCGGTTCGTCCCGATTATGTTTCTAGATTTGTCAGCACCATACCAGTGCTCGTGGGTTTCACCGAAGTGGTAAACGTCTTAGACCTGCATCACTTCGGGCTTTCCTCCCACATTAA